CAGGATTAGTTTTCCGTTTGATACAACAATGTAAAATTTTGCTCTCAAGTTTACTGTGTTTACGGTTAAGTCAACCAAAGTTAGATCAACTGGAGCATTCAAATAATTTTGATTTCAATTTGATCTCCAGCTTTGTACGGGTCTTGTTTGCTCTCAACTTTGTGCTCTTTTTTTTTTACAAAATTAAACAATTTTTACTACTAATTCTTAACCTAGAAAACAAAGGCAAATTTTCCAAAAACCTTCCTGTAAAAGACTCTTTGATTCCATCTTCGGCTTCTAAGCATGTTTTTGAAAACGAAGATTGAAGGGTTCCCATAATGCTTCATATTGTACATAATTCCTTCAGTAGCTAGCCATAGAGCCGCTTTCAGCTCTTTACATTTTTCTCCTATGTGTATAGTAAAAATTTCAGTAGCACTTTTGAGTCTAACGTTCATCTGATTCCTGATTATTTCCTCAACCCAATTCCAAATTTCACGAGATAAATTACAATCTTTGATTCTATGTAAATTTGTATCTAGTGCATTACAAACATCGCAATTTTTTTCCGTCTGTCCTCTCACATTATATTTGGACAACTTTTCTTTATTTGGATAGATGTCATTCAAAACTTCAAAAAGCATTGACTTGGCTTCTGAACTGTACACATTTTTACTAAAGTTTTCCCACACAGTGACCCAATCAAAATCAGGGAATTTTGCCTGAATTTTTGGAATGTGAGGCTGTTTAGCTAACAAGGAACTATATATTAGAGCAACAGTATTCAAGTAAACCATATTTTTATATTGCTTTGCAATATTTATCCAATTCGTAGTGTTACGAGAAAGTTTATGTGTATATTGGCAGTTCAGCAGAAAATGATCGGGATCCTTCAACATGTTATTGGAGTCGAATAAAATTTGCTTGATAAATAATGTTTACATTTTTTCCTCCAAATTAACCAAGGCTAGACCACCTTTTTCATAGGCCAGATAAAGTTGATTGCAATCTACTTTAAAAATTTGAGCACCCCAAATATATCTCATTACATTTTTTTTATTTCCTCTAAATGTCGTTTCTCAGGTGGTAACATCTGTCCAATATACCATAGTTTGCTTAATATAAATGTATTAATGATCCAAGTTTTTTGAATAAAATTTAAATTTCTAATTCCGATAGAACCCAGACTGCATTTGCAAGTGTTTATCAATCGTTCATAATTTTTTCCAATCATTTCTGTCCAATTATTAGTTATTATCATTCCTAAATTTTTTAACTGTTTAGCTTCTATTATTCGTTGTGGTCCTAATGAAAAATTGTTTATCTGCAAAAATGCTGATTTATTTACATTTAGTTTGAATCCAAATGTTTTACCATATTCATCAGCTATGTGTAATACCTTATCAAATTCAACATCAGATCGAATAATTATTGTTACATCGTCTGCGTATGCTACAATTTTAATGAACTTATCATCAATTAAAATACCTGTTATCGATTGATAAACTTCTCGTATGAATGGTTCTAAGTACAAAACAAAAAGAATCATTGATAGGGGACAACCTTGTCGCACAGATTTTTCTATTTTAAAGCTATTTGTCAAGTGACCATTGAAAAGTACACTAGAGGAAGCATTTATGTATACATTTCTAATACAGCTAACAATCTGAGGTGGAAAGTTATAAGCTTCTAAAACTTTCCATAATTTCGCATGATCCACATTATCAAACGCCTTCTCCATATCTAAACTTAATATTGCTGTTTTAAATCGTTTTGACCCATTTGCTTTTGCTATAACTGTTCTCAACTGATCAAGTGTATTCTATACAAGACTTGTTGTTCACACATGCAGTTTGCCCTTCTTCTACAACTTTTCCTAAAAACTGCTGAATGCGGTTGGCAAGAATTTTGGTAAAAACCTTGTAATCACAGTTCAGAAGGCTAATAGGTCTAAAGCCCGAGATGTTTTTAGAACAACCCGATTTTGGTATTAATGTTATGTATCCTTCGAAAAAGAAGAAGGAGGAATAACATCGCCATGCAATAAATCATTAAACAGTTTAATCATTTCATGTTTTAACAGATCAAAGTGTTTGGTATAAAATTCATAATTAATGCCATCTGGCCCTGGTGTCTTTTTCTTAGTGCAACTGAAGACTACGTCCTTGAGCTCTTGTTAGTCAATATCACGTGCAATATTTAATGAATCCTGGTTGCTCAATTTTTTATTGATATATTCAAGTGAACCGTTGTATGCCTTAATTTGAAGCACTTCCATAGATATTAATTAAGAGCTGGATATGCCAGCCAATGCATGAATTGGTATATTGAGCATAACACAAATGGCGTATGCAAAACATGTAATCATGAATTTCTTACATCCTCTGTAGATGTTTCAGAGACAACTGTAATCAATGTTCTTACAACAGCCTGTAGTGCAGTGTTCACTCGGCTGTCGACAAAAGCAGGCCACTCTCGAGTGCAGTGCTACGCGATCGTCTGTTTTCTCGGCAACAACCATTGTGTGGTCCTCCTCATTGTTCTTCATCAGCAGTTCTTTCGGTCGATGCGTCGTCGACTTTGGAAAGCAACCGTTTCGTGATGAGTGTGTGAGTGCTGACCACGTTTTGCGTCCATTGCTGCAATGGACGCGCTCTGACCCTCGTTGGCCTACAACAATTTGCCATACAATGGAACCACTGGAAGCGGCTCCAGTTCTGATGGAGGAGGCTTTTTGGATAGCGGAAGATAAAGTGTTTATCATGTTGTACCTTTTGACTATAGTTTTAAGATGTATTGTATAGTGACCAAGAATCCTCGGCTCTGTAAAGTTAATTCGGTTGAGCCTTATCAAATAAATTAATAAACAAAAAAAAAACAGCCTGTAGTGAACAAGCAACTTTTTCACGGTATATTTTCTCGTAAAAACCCTCATAAGATAATTTTCTACATTTAATTTATTGGCGTTATACGTAATACTTCATAAAATTAGCAGATTCATTTGGTACAATTTGGAAAAGTTTTCCGACAATCACATCACAAAATATGTTCATGCAGTGATGACATACACTCATTTGATTTTGAATCTAAAACTTAAGAGAATCTTGGTTTAATTGTAGACCGGACCGGAAATCGAATCCATCACCTCCGGCTTGGCCATAAGACTATCCGAGGCCCTGGTTTCTTAAAGGCTATTGTCAACTCTCCGGAAACGAAAAATAATCTGATTCGTGCTGATGTTATCACATATTGGCATGAGTCAAAGTTTTCCGGAAACTCCGGAATTTATTTTTCACTTGAACACAAGAATGAATCATCATAAAAAATGGGTAGACCGGATGGATAGCACCATCAGGAAAATCCCAAAAAGACAGCAATAATACCATAAATAAATAAATAATATACAGAGGCAGACAATGGCAGACTGCCACTTCCTTTGGGTTAACTTTTTGGTGAACGATGCACCAAGAACTTTTCTCACGTTCGAGTCAATGACAACCTTCTGTTGACAGCATAAAAAGATACAGGTTCAATACCTGTATGTCGCCATAACTATCAATAAAATGCAAAATAGGGTTCATTAACGACATGAATGCAAATATCTACACTCGGCCTATTGGAAGGACAACTTCAGGTAATCTAGGCCAATTGCTCACGGAAGGATCCACTAACTGAAAATTTGCATAATTAACATGAACTATCTCCTGCTGAGATTTACTTTTTATGTAAATCTCCCCGCACTGGAAGTGGAAACACCAAAGCACCAGAATGGTAAACACAAAACGGAAGAACAATAATTTGTTGGTTCCTTCCTACACAAACTTCCTGCTGCATGCCGCCTGGCAAGGTGATTATCATTCGGGATTTACGTTTGGGCTCGTCGTCATTGCTTACCAAGAAGTTTCAATCGAGGTTTCAATATCTTATCGACATGTAATTCAATTTTGTTTTGTCAAATCACCAATCAATCATCATTGCCTTACCGGTCGGTCATATGCTGATAAAGCTGCTGCAATTAGGAATGTACATTCACCCAGAATGAATAAGCTCTTGATTCAATTTACGCACGAACAGCGCATATGATTGCTTCCGCATATGTTTGCAAGAGTGCAAAGGCGGATAATGCAGTTCACGGCGCGACAGACCCATCAGCTCCGTGACATGGTCAATAACGGGCGTCGATTTTGTGGATGACGGCGACGACAACGATGGACGTCAACAACGACACATCAATGGATCCCATTGAGATGTAGCTGCGAACCGGTACGAACGCTGGAGGACCTACTGTGCTGTCAAGACTCTAACATACCAGCAGCCACTGCGTCTATGTTCTTGATGCACCCTAACGAGCACGGTGACTCCAGGGATGCCATCGGGAGGTGATAATAATGTCTAAGCCTGTACTATTTTTTGCATTCCAGTATTTTCCTCCATAAAATGTAATCGAGCTCACCGCCCTCAACATTACGGACAAGGATTCATATTAATGGTCTACAACTACATGATCCAGTAGCTACATCCCTGGGCCACTTTCTTCGTACTAACGACCGACAACGGTCCCGTTGTCAATGACAAGTTAAATAAGCTCATAACGTACAGAAAGAGGAGCGTATCGTCAACTTCATAGAATAAAATGCATCATCCATAGGATGACGACGACGACGACGACGACAAATGCAACCCCTGTGCACCACAGCCAAAGAAGCAGAGCCATCCCCATCCCGGAGGTGGCGTTCAAACGAGTAAATATTTACTTTAGCACGGACAGTACGTCTCCAGCTGGTGCCACTACTGCTGCTGCAGCAGATGAAGGGAAAGCAAATAAACTTCACTGTTTCCCTTCGGAGACAAAGAAACCGAAGCGGGAGCTCTAATGTTTCAAACTTCTCGGAAAGTAACGCTGGTTTGCTGGTGAACACGATTTACAGTTACTCAAATATTGATTAACGATTGTCCCGGCCCGGAGTTCTCTTGAACTTGATTAATTGTTTGAAAATGAACAAGAAAACGCTACTCACCAGTACTTTCGCGAACCGTCGATCCAGCTCGCCAATGTCCGGCATGGGCTGTAAATTGCGCGACCGGATGCTGGCTTGCCGTATGTGACAGCTCGACGGTTTCCAACTGTCGATAACGCTCGAGGGCGACGGTAGCAGCGAGCATGGCTGCTGAATATCCGGATGGTGGTGCTGCGTCTCGACAAGCACGCTGTCATGCTTGGAACCACCGCCGACGCCACCGTTACTGCTGGCGGCAATACTGTTGGCCGCCTTGGACGATGCCAAACCCATCTTTGGCCAGCTGTCGATTATACCCGATTCACCGATTCACTGTTTACAACAACAATAACTCCACGACAACAATAATCCACGAAGCACACCGAGCACGTAGTAAACACTGGATTTAGCTCATTCATAGCCCTTAATAATTTTATTCTTTTCCATAAACACTTCTTCCTTTTCGAAAATTTACAACACACTACTGGAAGTCGAACGATTCCTGCGAAGGCCCGAAAAAGTATTATACCAGCAGCACGAGCAACAACATCGGATCACTTCCTCTGCCGTTCTGGTCGAATTGAATTTCTATATGCTGCTCACACAACATACATCACATCGCACAACACCACCAATCACACGTGTGAGTGTGTTTGCTTCGCTCTCCCTTGGATTCGTTTAACACTGGGGAATGAAATTATTATGGAAATCACACAAAACAACAATTAGGTACTTTCAGGTAGTGAATGCTAATGCAGCACTCACTTGCCGAACGATCAAACAATATAGAGGTAAAATGGTCACTTCCGGTTCGGGGGGGACGGCGGATGTCTCGCGAGTTGACCACCCACACCCTCCTTCGAGCAACCTTTAAAGTCCATCAACCGGTACACCACGACCAATCGGAACTTCCTTCTCTCAGCTTCTGTACTGCTGACTGAGTGTGGGTAATCAACTCGATCCAAGCGATTTGACTGTTAAAGTTCGTTCTGCTTCCCGGTGCGACGGCGGCGACGACGAATCGATTCCGAAAAATGATGATGTTGATCAAACTTGGCGGGTTCTGCCGTTCCCGCAAATCCGCCCGGTATCGAAAAAGAGACTTAACTCGACCGGTCAGTCACCGGCACCCAGAAGCTACCGGTAGCTGTTTTTGTGCAATTGGAAACCCCTTCGCGGTTTAGTGCTGACTTGAGGTATCTGCTTTGGCTGTAGTTTTTTTTTTGTCGATTGTGCAAACTTTGAAATTTCGTTGAGCGAAGTTCCGCCCTGGAATGGAAAAAGAAAATAAGTTTGATTACTACTTGGTTAAAATTAATCATTTTTTTTCAGTTGAGAACGTATGAAGATCAAACGAACTCCGAGAACCCACCCACCCATGCGCACACCATTATGCTACATAACAGGAATATTAGCATCATTCATAGTTCAATTCAACGCCTAAACATAACAGCAACGACGAAGGCGGCAGCTGGTTCAACAATCGTCTGTTGCCGCTGCTGCTGGTGCAACACTCATAACAACCGATGCGGCTGATTCCGGATTTTCAAGATACTTTCATCGTTTGCATCCCACGTTCTGGGAGAGGAACGACCAACCAACGCACCTCCAGCCCCAGACTGTGTGCAACACTGCAAACATAATCTACACAAGTTTTCCCCTCCAAGAAGCGCACTGCTGTATTATGATAGGTATATACAAACAGACTCGCTGTGCTTCTGGGGCAACAAATACGACGACGACGACGACGACAGAGGGCGTCTAACCGCTTCTGCCGCTCCCCCCGGAGGCGACGGCGACGACGACCGCGTCGACATTCCAAAGTGATGCACTTTTTCTATAGACCATACGCTTCTCGTCGTCGTCTGGCCAGGGTGGAAGAAAAATAAGCTTAAAATTATGAATAGTGTACATAAATTTTTCAAATGTGCGAGCATAACTTGCATCGTCGTCGGCGGTGGGTCGGGTCGAGTTCTTCTGACTGCACTATGCGGATTCGAGTGGCCAAATAGAAAAGAATTCTTCTGATTCGTGACTGTCAATCGGTAGTAGACCATTCAACGGAGAAACTTCCGGAAAATCAGTTCTTTAAAACTTACCGGGATACAGATCTTAGCTCCAGAATAGTTCGGAAAGCATTACATTGTTGTGCATGTTGTCAAGACTAGAGATATTTAATGCTGTTCAAATTATTGTGGAGTCAAGATCTTTAAGTTCTAAAGGCTCAATGAAGTCTTGAATAATGTCCTGGAAATCTATATGAGTCTGTGAAGCTGAACATGCACATCATGGAATGGTACCAATATGATGGTTAATGCTCTCCAAACTATTCTGGAGTTTACTGCCCTGTGCGGCATAACAGTCCCATTAGCATTTTCGGCGAAAATACCAAAACTTTGTTGTCCCATCCATAACAATAAGATATTTGACAGTCAGAATGCCAAGGATGCAAAATGCGTAACGATGTTGTGACATGGCACGCCTGACACGTTGCCGAGAAGAGAACTTGCTCACAGCATCGACACGCTTTTTTCACCCTTGATATTCTGACTGATTTTTTTATTTTTTATTCAATCGTTGTAATTGTAAAAACAAAATAGTTTAGTGATTTTCTATAGGCGCATTTCGCGCCAAATCGTATTCGAAGCTGGCAGCACCCTCTCAGATTTCAATGAAACTTTCTGGGCGGTGGACCTTGACTAAATAAGCCAATTTGCATATACTTAGTTTTTTCAAAATTTATCTAGATTAACCTTTGAAAAGGGCCAAACTTTTTCTGCCGATTTTTTTCAAAAAAAAAAATTATGGAAAAATGACAACTCCTACAAAAATGTGTTGTGTGAATATTTTTTAGGAAATTGTCCGAATTATCGAAAAAAAAATACTGAAAAAATTCCATTAGAGATCTACATTGAAAAAAAATCGATTTTTAAAATTTGAAGTCGATTTATAAAAAGGCCATGTTTGATTTGGATGAAACTTTGTCTCAAGATAGATAATTATGTTTACTACCAACATCGCGAGATGGGCACTTTTAAGGAAAAAAGTTTTTCTTACAAAAACTTTTTCATGACTTTTTCTGATTTTTTTAACGTATCATTTTTACACAAAACTAAACCAGTGAAGCTCAAAATCATTTCAGAATCCAATGAAGCTCAATTTGCGATTCAATTTTGTCTAATCAGCACTTAAGTTCACTTTGATTAATCGAGAATTTCATATGAAAAGGGCTCATGATGCATTTCTCGCTCTTTATTCGGAATTGGCAGCACCCTCTCAGAGTTCAATAAAACTTTCTGGACATGTATACCTTATCAAAAAAAAATATCATTCCCTTATTCTGTTGTCAAAATCTGGGGCAAAATCTGATAATATGTGAGTGAAAAAAGACAAGATTTTTCTCGGACTATTTATATTTGCACAACATTTCAATCCTTTGAGCCTTAATTTACTATGTAGTTTGGTCCATGATAATAATTTTACTAAAACTTGCCTATACAACTTTCGTTATCAGATTGACTGCTGCTTGTATGAAATCAACCTTAGTTTTATAGTGCTCATAGGTAGAATGAAGTGTTCTACAAAATGGTGAGTTGACAACCTGGAAAGAGCGGAATACCTAGCCCTGGTATTCACGCCTTCCCGAGTCATATGATAACAAAAGACTACCAGCTGAAACATGGACACAGCTGGGTGGCGTAGCCTGGGCAATGTTGCCAGTCCGGCAACAGCAAAGTGAAAGGTGCGACGCGAACTTTGCTGGACGGGACAAAGGTATGGAAAAGCGGGCATCGAGCGGCTACTTTCTACCACCAACGAGCTGGGAACCGGCTTTGTAGTGCTGGGTAAGATGCACCAACGCGTGATTGGTTGGCAGTCGATCAACGCGAGGATGTGCAAGTTGAGGATTAAGGGCCGTTTCTTCAACTACAGCATCATCAACGTGCACTGCCGACACGAAGGGAGACCTGACGACGAGAAAGAAGCGTTCTATGCGCAGCTGGAGCAGGTGTACGACGGCTGTTCGCAACGGGACGTCAAAATCGTCATCGGCGACATGAACGCTCAGGTTGGACGGGAGGCAATGTATAGACCGGCAATCGGGTCAAACAGCTTGCATGCCGTATCGAACGACAACGACCAACGATGCGTGAATTTGCAGCTTCTCGGGGTATGGTAGTCCGAAGCACCTTTTTCCCCCGCAAAGCCACCTGAAGATCACCTGACCAACACACAGAAAACCACATCGATCACGTTCTAACCGACGGGAAATTCTTCTCCGACATTATCAACGTCCGCACGTACCGCAGTGCGAACATAGATTCGGACCACTACCTAGTTGCAGTATGCATGCGCTAAAAACTCTCGACGGTGCATAACACCCGTCAAAGTCGAACGCCGCGAACCAACATTGAACAACGACGGGACGCCGGAGTTGCCCAGGACTACGCGCAGCAGCTGGAAGTTGCACTACCCACGGAAGAGCAGCTTGGCGCAGCTTCTCTTGAAGATGGCTGGTGGCACATTTGTTCAGCCATAGGTAGTACTGCTGCAGCGGCACTAAGTACTGTACAATCCCGCACCGAAAAAATGACTGGTTTGACGGCGAATGCAAACTGTTAGCAGAGGAGAAGAATGCAGCACGGGCGAGAATGCTGCAACACCGCACGACATTTAATGTGGAGCGATACAGACAAGCGCGGAACAGACAAAACTCGGTTTTTCGAAGGAAGAAGCGTCAGCAGGAAGACCGAGATCGCGATGGAAAATCTGTACCGCGTAAACGACACACGGACGTTCTACGAGAAGTTAAATAGTTCGCGCAATGGCTACGTGTCGCAAGCCGATATGTGCAAGGACTTGGACGGCAACCTTCTCACGAACGAGTGTGAGGTGATTGCGAGGTGGAAGCAGTACTATGACGAGCACCTCAACGGTGATGCAGCAGAAAACGAAGGAGGCACGGCAACAGACCTTGGAGCACGCACAGAAGACGACAGTCTACCGGCCCCTGATCTTCAAGAAGTTGAGGAGGAGATCGGTCGGCTGAAGAACAACAAAGCAACTGGTGTAGATCAACTACCAAGTGAGCTATTAAAATACGGTGGTGAAGCACTGGCTAGAGCGCTGCACTGGGTAATTGCCAAGATTTGGGAGGAGGAGATATTACCGGAGGAGTGGATGGAAGGTGTCGTATGCCCAATCTACAAAAAGGGCGACAAGTTGGATTGCTGCAACTATCGCGCGATCACACTGCTGAGCACCGCCTACAAGGTACTCTCCCAAATTCTATGCCGCCGCCTGTCACCATTTGCAAGAGAGTGGGGCAATACCAGGCGGGATTCATGGGTGCCCGCGCTACCACGGACCAAATTTTCGCTACCACGGACCAAAATGCCGCGAATACAACGTGCCCACACATCATTTGTTCATCGATTTCAAATCCGCATACGACACAATCGATCGAGATCAGCTAAGGCAGATTATGCACGAGTACGGATTTCCGGATAAGCTGATGCGATTGGTCAAGGCGACGATGGATCGAGTGATGTGCGTTGTTCGAGTATCGGGGACACTCTCGAGTCCCTTTGAATCTTGAAGGGGGTTACGGCAAGGTGATG